ARWTAGGCTAGAAAGCTGGGGATGCAATTTGCTATGGTACTTACCAGAGCCTCCTGTTCCATGTTCAGCGAGCTTTTGGCTCTTGTTTCGTGAATATTTATTTGCCTGCGACACAATATATCTGGGAAAATAAAAATGATCAAACAGCCATTAGGGTAAAAATTATAAAAATATATTATTTAATGGCAAACTGTGTGACAAAATAATTGAATTTTTTTTGTTTAAYAAAACTTACTTCACAACCACTCGAACATGGACATTCCTGAATTCATGTATTTCATCCACACACTTGTTGTATGTCTCAGACAAAAAGTTGCTGTTTTTCTGCAAAACTTCAAAGAAAATGATTGTCTTTGTACCATTGCTTGCTCTTTTAGAGCACAGACAGCCCATCTAATGTTCCCAAACAACTGGATGGTCTGCCTGTGTTTTAGAGAGGTTTAAACTTCTTCCACAGATATCTCTTAAACTTAGAKACTACTCTAAGTGGCTGGAGTGGAGGAAGGGAAAACAAGATCACATACACAGGAAGACCAAGAAGAAACAAAATCACACTTTGGTAAATGYCAATAAGTCATAAAAGGAAGAATAAGTCATCTGTTTGTGCTTACTACATGATTTGACTGATGGTCCGTTTTCTATGGCTGATATAAATGCTCTGTGTTTAGGTGGCATGTGCAACTTCATCTTGTCAAGAAAATGCTCCTCGCCTGTGAGTTTTCCAAAAAAATGCACTGTTTAGGTTTAGAGGAGTGTGAATCAAAAAGAAAAATTTTTTTTTACTGTATACTCACCAGTTGTGGTTTTATGTTTTATTCCTAGAAATCCATCAATAGCATGAAATACAGAACACTGAGCTGCACTTCCACCAGGATACTATGAATAATTAATATATCTTACCAGGAGCCCATAGGCCTGAAATAGCATGACGCTTTGCATCATGGTCTAGATTCGGTACAAACATCTTTTGTTCATGTGGCCAAATATGGTGTTGTTTGTACTGAAACTAGACCACAATGCACCATGATTTCGTATCTCAGAAAAGGTCTCAAGTAATGAGCTCCTGATCTCACACTGTTGATGTCATTCAATCTTATGCACACTGATTTGTCAGAAGAGCAGTTTCAATGAAATTACACTCAGACACATTGAGAGGAAAATATTACATAAACCAAATAGATTCCAATTTTTTAATGCATCAGCATTGTATGTTTGTAGGGGTATTGAATGGTAAAATCAGAGCCTCACCGACCCTGCGAGCCCCTCGTTTTAAAACCGAGGCCGAGCCTTTGGCTGAACAAGTCCGATATTTCGCCAAATTGTGATATTCCCAGGTGAAAGTGATTTAAAATGAGAGGCCCATTCATTTTTTAAGCACCGAGTTTACAAGCCTTGTGATTCCTAAGACACCATTCTACACCCCTAATTGTAACAGATATATACTAAATCAGAGCGCACAAGATTTGAATGGCATCAACAGTGAAATTTATACATGTGTAACTAGTATATTGGATATTTCTATGATAAAATTCTTGATAAATTACAATATATAAAAATTTGGTGACAAACCTTCCAAGGTTCGCTGTCCACACCTTCATAWATCAATCCASTKGTAAGTGGAGAACCATCACCCCATCTGAGAAAAAAACCCTGAATATCATTTATAAATATCATTCTGTACAATAATTCTCATATCAATCCCATATATGATACAATATGTATAGATGTCGCATGCATGTTTGGGATATAGATAGTGAGCCACAGGAATTTGAATAACTAGAAACAAGATGGCCCACTAGATGTCTGCAATCAGTTTGCTGATGGGAGTTCTTGGATCTCAATGAAGATGTAGTGAGGGCAAGCATTAGTGAAAAAGAGTTATTATTCAAATTCAGAAACAATTGGCTGGAATAATTGCATGACAGAAGCAAASACAATTCTATCAAGTATCTTTTAACATACCCAGTTAGAAAAGGTCTTAACAAACAATAGAAGTCTTTTGGATCACAAATCTCTTGGATAAAATAGAATATAGATTGTTAGCTATCGAGGCTAAGAACAGAATCGACTTCAGTTAAGTCTTTACTTGATGTAMGAAAAGAAGAAGCTCCATATTGCAGCTTTGCAAAGCTAAAAATGATGAATGACAGCAGGTATTCATGAATGCARCATTACTTTTCTGGAAGTAGAGTGCTGATGGAAATAGCAGTTTATCAAAATTCTGATTGAGTTAAAAATAGGATTTTCTCACCGTGCACTTTGAGCAATGCTGATGTCAAGTTGTGGATAACAYGTTTCAAGGTTATAAGTGCAGCAACAAGTTGATTGACATCATCATTGAGCACAGCCTAAAAAAACCAATACATTAAAATATCAATTTAAATAAA